CACACCACTAGAGAGACAATGTATAGTTGCATGGAATTAATTAAAATAAACAACAGCATTTTTGAAACAACTAAGCTGTCATCAGAAAGTGATAAAATTAACAAGTTTGCTGGAGTTTCAAAGCAGTGAATGGAATAGCTCACGGACACTCTCCAAAATAAATAGCAGCCAGCAATTTAAAACTTCATATAAACAGTATATTAAAATAGCCAAAACTAACAGAATTGTAATTTAAATGCATAACCCTTGGACTTTTCTCCATACACTGCAGCATTCCCACAAAGAATTACCAATTATGTAAATTATCATTTACTTGATAAAATTTATCTTCTACTGCATTTTGGCCATTGACAACTCTATCTCATCTCCGAGAAGCTCTGAGTGTTAGTTACTCTGTGTTTGAATCGGAAGAATAATTTCTGCAAAACACCCTAAAAACCCTAAGGCCAGGAACAGCTCTCCCTTCAGTTTTTTCACTGAAGTCAAAAAGCCAAGCCATTCACATCTCAAACATGCTATCCTTTAGTTATCTTAGACTAAGTATTCAGCCAGAAAGCTCTCAAGACTTTTACGGTGCACGTGTTGACAAGACTTGGAGCCACACGTACTGATCATATAGCCAGCCTAGATAAACTACATTGTTTGCTACAGATTTGGAACCACAAAGGAAGATTTTTCCTTTACAGGATATACACTTTTATCTAAAAAAAAAAAGCAGGATTTGTCTGACTAATTTTAGTTATCTACTATATAGAGGTTAATATCTACAATATAGAGGTTAATATCTACAATATAGAGGTTAATATCTCTATATAAGCTAGTGGCCATAGACTGGCCTGGCAGTCAATGAAGTTTTTCCAGCAACTAAGAGGGGAACCAGACGGCTGGATGTGAATATCTAGCCAAGAAGAATGGCCTTGACATCCAACGGCTTCAAAAGTGGCAGCCCCTAAGGACCCCCACGTAGGCAATGGGCAAGTTACATCTAGTGTCAGTGACCAGTGGTCTGGCCATCAGTTAGCTGTATAAATACAAGCTGCTCCTTAATTTTAACAAGTACTTCCCCTAACTTATCACAACATTTTCTTCAGCAAATCCATTGCAGTATCCCCTTCTTTAATTTCCCAATACACCTCTGGAATCTGCTCTGTGCCCTACTAATGACGCCTATTTCTCTTGGCATTACTCTGGGCTCAAAGCATGCATACAGCAGTGGGACACTAATAGGACAATAACTAACAACATAAGCTCATATCCCAGCTCACCTTATACTTCATATAACTTAATATAGCCTATATAGCCTATCCATACACTTCATATATCCTAGGGAAAATAATAACAGTATTGGAAAACAGCATTTTCCTAGTGAAATGCAATTCTGTTCAATGTAGAGAAGTAACTTCACCATGAACCCATAACGTCTATTATAGGGAACAAAAACAGAAGGAAGGAGGAGGAGGAAAAGGACTACTCAATCCAGGAGATAAAGAT